GGCCCGAAACTCGGCCCAATAACCCTTCCAAAAAAATTCATTAAAATTCAGCCCAAAAGTCCGCCCACCAAATACAACCCGTCCGCCATTTCTTTGAAAAAATTATACTTTTAAACCATTAAATTTAAAATTTTAAAATAAGTCTCACAATATCATTTAGATATTATAAATAATCTATTTTTTTTTTCATGTATTAAATATACAAGTTTTAAAAGGTAAAATAATACAAATGATAGATAAGTGAGTAAGTGTTAACATAGTTGAGATGTATTCATTTTAGTAGATGTAGTTCATCCCCTAATCAAAAATAAAATTATTTATTATTTTATTTTTATCCGTTTTGATTCTACTTTTAATTTATAAATATAATTTGCACAAATATTAAGTTACAAAAAATATTCATTATTTTTAAATAAAATTGTATATAAAAAAAGTCAACGAACAGGTCCGCCCAATAGATTCACAGGTTGGGTTATGAATAGTCTATCCTTACCTGAAGCTCGGCCTGATCTGACACACACCGATAACTCACTTAGATAAAGGTTTGGGGCTATACTACCCAATACAATTCAAAAAAAAAATCACGGGTCAAACCCGACCCTACTTATGGACACTCCTAGTTGGGATATAGGTAGAGGGAGGGAAGTTTTTTTAAATTTTAAAGATATAATTTTTTTTTTTGTGTGTGTGTGTGTGTTTTTTTTTTTTTTTTTTTGCATTAAGGGCACGGTGGGTATTTGCTTAACAGTTGGACGGCATTAATGATAGTGGTTGCTAAACTTTACCATTAATTGTTGTAGAGGGTACCCAATTAAATACAAACGTAAACTAGAAATGAAAACAGTAAAATTTTAAAAATCACATGGGAATCTCTTCTAATTAAGAGAAACCAAAAGGGATGTTAATATAATTTTTTCCTATTTTATTTAAATTTGAAAGGTAAACAATGATGTAAGCCACTACATCTCACAACGGTAAAGTTTGCCAGAAGGTGTACTGCGCAGAATTGCAATAATCCAGTACACTGAGCAATATTACAAATAGATCCTATAAGAAATCAGCAGATAAAAATTGAATTATTTTATAAGTAGTGTATTTAATTTTTTTTATTGTAATATTTGATAGGGTAATAGGTAACTTGTGGTTGAAGTTACAATATAAATAGTTTTGATAAAAATATTGGTGACCATTAAATAAATCTATTTGAGACCATTGAATAAACATATTAAAGTCTGTCCTTTTTATATTATAGATTTCACAACTTATAAATTAGGATAATATATAAAAAAATAATTTGTTTCTTAGTTAACGAAAATGCATATCCACAGTTGATTTTGCATAATTTATTGTACTTTTCATATTTTGAATTCTAGAAAATTTTAAGTTTTTTATTTTGTACTATTCAAAATTAAATATATCATATTGTATTGTTAATATACGAAAAGTGTTACAATATAATTATTATGTTAGTTTTTGTTATTTTTTTTTCAAAAGTTAATTCATTGATACCGACAAAAAAACAAATGAAAAGTTAACAAAAATGTTATATTACAATATTTTTCATACATTGAGGCTGTAATATACAAAATTTAATCTTTGGGGGTATAAAATAAAAAATTTAAAATATTTTAGGATACCAAGTGTAATTTTTCCTAATTTAATTTTAATTATTATTCGTAAAAATAATAATATTAAATAATTCAAAAAATTATAGGATTAATTGCATTGGAGGTTCTCAAAGTATAATATTTATCTTATTTTGGTTTCCAATATTTCAATTACATCATTTTAGTCTTTAAAGTATTGAATATGTTACTATATAGTCTTTCAAAGCAGATAACGTCTAAATTGTTAACGATTTTTAATTACAAACTTCTCACGCGATATCTAAATATGGAAAAAAAAATTTGAATAACACTTGACCAAATTTCTATCCAAATTTTAATCAAAGAGTTATCCAAATTATACAATTTTGATCACGAGGTATCCAAATTTTTATCAAAAACAACCTATATTACACACTTTTAGTCAAAAGTTATTCAAATTTTGATCAAGAGTTAGNACTTGACTTAAAAAATAGGTTTGAAATTTGATAAATTTAATAGTTGGCTCGTCCGAGTCTAAGCTCAATATTCTTAAAAATAGGACTTAAGTTTACTCTCAAATTTATTATTTGGCCCGAAACTCGGCCCAATAACCCTTCCAAAAAAATTCATTAAAATTCAGCCCAAAAGTCCGCCCACCAAATACAACNAACTAAATTATTTTTTTTTACCTATATTTAGGTATAATATGATAAATTTATAATAAAAAATTTGTTAGCAATTTAGATATTGTCTGCTTGAGAAATTACATAAAAATATATTTTATATTTTATAAATTAAAATNAGCTAAATTATTTTTTTTTACCTATATTTAGGTATAATATGATAAATTTATAATAAAAAATTTGTTAGCAATTTAGGTATTGTCTGCTTGAGAAATTACATAAAAATATATTTTATATTTTATAAATTAAAATAATATAATTAAAATATTAAAAAATAAAATAAAATAAATTTCATACTTTAAGAATCTTTTTTGTAATTAATCCAAAATTATACATTTTTATTGAAAGAAAAAACGGTCACAAAAAATTACAATTATTTTTCACCTTCTACTTGGATCCCACAAAACAATGTCATGTCCAATATAAAATATATATATACCCNTTTAGTAGATGTAGTTCATCCCCTAATCAAAAATAAAATTATTTATTATTTTATTTTTATCCGTTTTGATTCTACTTTTAATTTATAAATATAATTTGCACAAATATTAAGTTACAAAAAATATTCATTATTTTTAAATAAAATTGTATATAAAAAAAGTCAACGAACAGGTCCGCCCAATAGATTCACAGGTTGGGTTATGAATAGTCTATCCTTACCTGAAGCTCGGCCTGATCTGACACACACCGATAACTCACTTAGATAAAGGTTTGGGGCTATACTACCCAATACAATTCAAAAAAAAAATCACGGGTCAAACCCGACCCTACTTATGGACACTCCTAGTTGGGATATAGGTAGAGGGAGGGAAGTTTTTTTAAATTTTAAAGATATAATTTTTTTTTTTGTGTGTGTGTGTGTGTTTTTTTTTTTTTTTTTTGCATTAAGGGCACGGTGGGTATTTGCTTAACAGTTGGACGGCATTAATGATAGTGGTTGCTAAACTTTACCATTAATTGTTGTAGAGGGTACCCAATTAAATACAAACGTAAACTAGAAATGAAAACAGTAAAATTTTAAAAATCACATGGGAATCTCTTCTAATTAAGAGAAACCAAAAGGGATGTTAATATAATTTTTTCCTATTTTATTTAAATTTGAAAGGTAAACAATGATGTAAGCCACTACATCTCACAACGGTAAAGTTTGCCAGAAGGTGTACTGCGCAGAATTGCAATAATCCAGTACACTGAGCAATATTACAAATAGATCCTATAAGAAATCAGCAGATAAAAATTGAATTATTTTATAAGTAGTGTATTTAATTTTTTTTATTGTAATATTTGATAGGGTAATAGGTAACTTGTGGTTGAAGTTACAATATAAATAGTTTTGATAAAAATATTGGTGACCATTAAATAAATCTATTTGAGACCATTGAATAAACATATTAAAGTCTGTCCTTTTTATATTATAGATTTCACAACTTATAAATTAGGATAATATATAAAAAAATAATTTGTTTCTTAGTTAACGAAAATGCATATCCACAGTTGATTTTGCATAATTTATTGTACTTTTCATATTTTGAATTCTAGAAAATTTTAAGTTTTTTATTTTGTACTATTCAAAATTAAATATATCATATTGTATTGTTAATATACGAAAAGTGTTACAATATAATTATTATGTTAGTTTTTGTTATTTTTTTTTCAAAAGTTAATTCATTGATACCGACAAAAAAACAAATGAAAAGTTAACAAAAATGTTATATTACAATATTTTTCATACATTGAGGCTGTAATATACAAAATTTAATCTTTGGGGGTATAAAATAAAAAATTTAAAATATTTTAGGATACCAAGTGTAATTTTTCCTAATTTAATTTTAATTATTATTCGTAAAAATAATAATATTAAATAATTCAAAAAATTATAGGATTAATTGCATTGGAGGTTCTCAAAGTATAATATTTATCTTATTTTGGTTTCCAATATTTCAATTACATCATTTTAGTCTTTAAAGTATTGAATATGTTACTATATAGTCTTTCAAAGCAGATAACGTCTAAATTGTTAACGATTTTTAATTACAAACTTCTCACGCGATATCTAAATATGGAAAAAAAAATTTGAATAACACTTGACCAAATTTCTATCCAAATTTTAATCAAAGAGTTATCCAAATTATACAATTTTGATCACGAGGTATCCAAATTTTTATCAAAAACAACCTATATTACACACTTTTAGTCAAAAGTTATTCAAATTTTGATCAAGAGTTAACTAAATTATTTTTTTTTACCTATATTTAGGTATAATATGATAAATTTATAATAAAAAATTTGTTAGCAATTTAGATATTGTCTGCTTGAGAAATTACATAAAAATATATTTTATATTTTATAAATTAAAATAATATAATTAAAATATTAAAAAATAAAATAAAATAAATTTCATACTTTAAGAATCTTTTGTGTAATTAATCCAAAATTATACATTTTTATTGAAAGAAAAAACGGTCACAAAAAATTACAATTATTTTTCACCTTCTACTTGGATCCCACAAAACAATGTCATGTCCAATATAAAATATATATATACCCTTTCACATCGCATTTATCACCGCTCACCTCCTTCAATCACTCTGAAATCACCACTGTACTGTACCTACTTTAGCAGCCACTTTCTCTTTTTTTTTTTATTTTTCTCTCTCACTCTCTCTCCATGGCCATATGCTGAAATGCAGTATTTCTGACCACACGGTCTAAATCTGTGCAGCACCACCACATGGGTTGCTGTCTTAGTTCCGCCACCACCTCCACCGCCACCGCCCGAAAAACAAACCACCCGCATGACATTCCTCCGAGCCAGCACCACCATTTTCCAGAATCTGACGCGAACGCCAGAGATCCACCTCAAATGGAAGAAGAAACTGTAAAAGAAGTCCTCTCAGAAACCCCCATCCCCAAACCGCCCATTCCAGTAGTCAACCAGAACACACCCACCACTGCCGCTACCACCAAGCCTGAAGTTGAAGAACCAAAGATCGAGCCGATGGTCGAGATTAAACCCACAGCAGAAGAGATCGTCTCCGAGGTCTCAGAAGTCTCAGAAATGTACAGTTTCACCGAAAGCTTTTCAACAACAGTCACGGAGAGGAGAGAGGACGACGGAGAGGTGACTCAAAAAGTGGTCGAGAGGTCCCCGGCAAAGGTCCCCAGCAAACGTCCGTCCGCCGGAGATCCCGCTGGAGCTAAAGAAAGGCCAGTCAGGTCTGCCGCAAGAAGATCTGCGCCGTCGCCTGAAAAAATCAGTCACATTGCGCCGTCAAGGTCAAATCCGGGACGGACAATGGAAATGCAGAGGCGAAATGTGGGACCACCCAATGGGAACAGGCGAGATCCCGGCGAGGGTTCCGGTAGGAGGTCGAGGTCACCGGTGACACGTGGCGAGGTGGGTACACGTCGTAATGTGAGGCATAAGAGTCCTGGTCCGAGTTTGACTGTGACCGACCGGTCTGGTGATCGGTCACCGCTTAATAATGCAGACAAGGGTGGTGAGTTCAAGAAGCCAAACGACGACGTCTCGAGGGAGACCAGCGAGTCGCTTGAGGACCCTCTGGTTTCTCTAGAATGCTTTATTTTCCTATAGACCCAAAACCATGGGTGCATCCGAAAATTTTATTCAATATTTATTCGATTTAATATTATTAATGTTAAATTTGCGTAGAGTTTATCAAAACAGGTATATGAAATGAATGAACTCCAAACAATAAGTATACATCACAACTCTTCTTGACTGCTTTGTGGTCAAAGCAGACACGAGGAGTTCATTGGAAATAATTTCATACAGTGTAACGGAATTCATTTAACAAGTTTTCGTCAAATATACGGGACGAGACGGCTTTGTAGTCAAAAATAAACACGAGGGTGGTGTTTGGATGGCCGGATTAGGAGGTATTAAAGGAGGGATTGGGCTAAATTTGTGAACGGCCCATAAATCCTTGCTTTGGGTATGTCAAAGGAAATGGGATTTTCGTTGTGAATCAATTACTCGTCCGTAGCTTTTGAAGCCCGTAATCCCTCTCAGCTGGATAGTTGAAACCTATGGAAAGTGTGGGATTGAGAAATTAATCTCTTGAATTAATTGCAAAATTACTAAAACATCCTCCACAGTAATTTTTTCAGAATTTTTATCTACTTTTGGCGCAATACTCTGTGCGCTAGGCTCCAAGATGTCGCCGGACGAGCTCCATCGCACAATGACCGAGATTGACACCGACAGAGACGGCTTCATTGATTTGAAAGAGTTCATCGACTTTCACCGTGAGGATTGGATTCACCGCGATGCTTTTGACATGTATGATAAGGATAAGAACGATTTCATCTTTGTTGTTGAGTTGCACACTGTGTTGAAGAGCTTTGGCGAGGGCTGCTCGTTGAATGATTGTCGGAAGATGATCAGTTCTGTCGACGGTGACGGTAGCATTAATTTTAATGAATTTAAGAAGTTGATGAACAGGTCTTAATTGTAATTTTTATTCAGTATTAACTGTAGATCAGATCTGGAGTTATATTTAGCAGTATGAAATTGAAATCTGAAAAATTAATTTTCAACTATTTGGTAACCTGGTTTTGAAATGCATCCTGCCAATTTGATTTTGAAGACAATTGCAATGTCCTTTTGCTAGGATTACAAGAGGAAATAGCAAAACGCTGGTGAATTGGGGAAATTTATCTAATATATGTGATTATCTATTATTCTCTCTTTTTTTCTTGTAATTAGGATTTTTCCATGATGTTTTATTTTTTTGTTTGATATTTACTTTTGCTGTCCATTCATATTTTTTGTGTTAAATTGTGTTGCACAAAAGTTAAAAAGAAAATTTAAAAAATTGTGTAGAAGGTTGTGTTATTAAAAAACGGACTCAACATTTGGGCATTATAAAACATTTATTCATTTCATTCCAAACATGATATAGAATTGAATGACACTTTTTTTACATAATGGTCATTTTATTATGTTTTATCTTCACATGTGAATGAGATCCACAAACCAAATAAAACCTATCCAAACATGGAATAGAATTTGAATCCGAACTTTATAATCCTCCAATTCGGATTACTTTGCATTGAGTTGGATTGGGTTCGGATTCAAAGCCAATTCAATTTAATTCAATCCTCCCATAGTGATCCAAACACCACCGAGGAGTTCACGGGAATCACGAGAAAGGATGGGGTTTGTAGTCGAAGCAAGCAGACACGAAGACTTCACGGGAGTGCAACGGAATTTGTTTAACAAGCTCTCGTCAACTTTCTCATAAAGTTTAAGAGATCAAGTGAATTTATGAGGACAAAATTTGGTGGATTATAAAATAATTTTAAATAATATTAAGATAATTTTATTCAAACTCATAAATTTAAAAGTAAAAAAATTAATATTATTTCATCAAACAAACAACAATTTCAGCTTAAATTTATTCCATAACCGACGTGTATCGAAAAATTTCAAATTACTTCTCATCGCACTTTTTAGGTAATACAACAATGATTAAATTCTATGACTAAATTTGGAGTCCAAATGACAAAGCAACTGACTATTTAAAATTTTTATTAGGGCTCGAATGATATGATATCAAATAAAAAAATTCAAGTCAGCTGTTATGTCATTTAAACTCTTAATTTGATCCATATAACATGCCTCTTACTTTTTTTCAACAAATATAATCCGAATTAAAAGAAAGATTAAGTTTGGTTTTGCTTTGGTCAATGTGCGGAGATTGTGAACTTCATTGGGATGTGTGGAGATACCGGGATGGTGGATTGGAATGTGTTACTTCTGCTCCCCCTTTGGGATGAACATTGAGGTGTGAGCGACCAACACTTCTTTCCTTTTTGACTGGGGTGATAGTGTGGTGGGCATTGTGCTTTGGATCTAAATGTACATAAATTTTTGAAATTTAAAATTAACTAAATTTTTTAATATATAGAAATGGACAAATTCTCTTTTACCACCCCTTTTAGTTTGGGGCAGTTGCAATTTACCCCTATATGATTTTGGATTTATTTGCTCTTGTTACTTTTTCCATTCGAATAAACAGACCGTGATCCCCATGCACTAAATGGATGATTGGGCATAGAAAAATCCCCATGCACTAAATGGATGATTGGGCATAGAAAAATGATGTTTTCCTACAAAGTGTAGTTGTTTAAAAGACAACAATGCCCTCCATACAATGTATTTAAGCTTTGGAGTAGTGGGTATACTAAAAACATGTGCCTTTCTCTCTCCCTCCACCTCATGATTACCTCCTCCATCCATATGCATTATCAATGAGATGTTAGTATAGTATAATTACTAAACTAAAATTTTAAAATAAAATATAGTAAAATAATTAAAAATAGATTAACATATAATAAACACTATTATTGATATTCAAATTAAAATAAAAGACAAGTTCTCATAGAAAAAATAAAAAGTCAAATGAAGGTAAATTGTAAGAACTTTCTCTTACAAAAATTCATAAATAATAATATTAAGGTCATTTGGATAAAGCCTTAATACAATAAAAAATATTTATTTGAAATAAAAAATTTTAAGCAAGACACAATTAAAAAATATATATGATTTTTAGAATATATAATATAAGTATACATATAATATTGTTTTGAAAAAAGTGAGGGCTATTTCATATCAATTAGTATATATATACAAACATACATATATGAACAAACAAATATTTATTAATTTTTTGTTTAGTTTCATGAAATTGGGTCAATCTTGAAAGGATTTGTGTTAACTTGCAAGTAATTAGGTTGAATTTATCTTGAAAGGATTTTTTGTTTGTTTTTCTGATAAGAATAATAAATGAACTACTCATGATATGTTTTTTTGATAAAAATCAAAACTCATTGTGCATTTTCAAACTTTTTTCCTTAGGAACTTGTATTTTAATGATCCTTTAACCAAAAAAATTCTCATTCATGGGTCAATAAAAACTCGGCACATGGATACTCACAATTGTCAGAATAAGCGCAATTCGCTAGGAGGAGGAGTCAAGCAATTATGACACACGGAGCCAAGTAAGCCACTTTGAACCTAACATTAAATGAAATGTGGCAACTCATTAATGAGGGTTTGTGTTGGTTTGATAGACTATCAATTAGTGTCTAATCTTCAAAGAATATGGAGACAGTCATCATTATAAGACATTAATGGTCATCGTGTCGACTGGGAGTCCCCGAGGGATTTCGAAGGGATCTGTTTCCTCCTCATGAAAGCTCGGGTGTAGGCTTTGAGTGCTAATGTGAAGCATTCAATGGTCGGGAATTGAACCATGAATGCTCGGAGGTTCTTGAGAGAAAATCCATTTGTCTGAGCAAGTGGCATTAATGAGACATGACAAAATAACACTCATTATATTAGATTGTGAATCCAGACCATTAAATTCTAGGATAGGACTTTGGATCAGAGTTATTGTTACAGATTTAAGTATAAATACTCCTCAAAAAGCTAAGTTAAGATACACAATTTTAAATCAAGAACACACTGTATATTTTAACTCGAACGCCAACTGACTTGTGTTTCAGAGGGGATTAGCCGAGTACAAACCCAACACTTTTCCTAATTCTTCGATTGTTTCAGGTTCATCACTTAGGATGATCCAAAGACTCATTATCTCAACAGATTACAAAAATCCACCCGTGCACTCATCTTGACCGTTGCAAAAAATCATAATAAATCATTTAATTTGATAGCGGGTCATCGTTGTTGGAACTTTATCCTCTCTATTTTTTTTTTTTGGGGGGGGGGACCAAAATTAATCTTAGTTATGGGTAGGGGTCGGACTCGAGTAGCCTGATATACTTTTATGTTCAAAGTACGGGTGAACTACCTCTCCATACTCATATTTGGTATGTAACATATACACATGTAAGACCCACAAATATATCATAATTATTAACAACTATTTGTTTGTAAATTGTTATTTTATCTTGATCAATTCAATTCATACACATGTTAAAGGGGTATAATTGTCTTTTGCCTCCTTAATCCCTTACCCATTTTTCCAAACCCACCTCTCCCATAGGTTTGGTGAAACTCGTGATCATGAGTTTAATCTTTGGGCCGGGTTTGAAAACTCAAGATTGAACTTTCAATCAAAACATGTGATTTGGGGGTCCTTTGAATTATTTTCTCTAAACTCATCTTGTCAAGCCCCCCAAACACTCTTTTACCAAACTGCCCCTAAAAGTGCTCGCTAAAACCTTTGTTTCAGTTAGAATATGGTAACAAATTGACTAGGTAATATTACCTTTTAGAAATCGTTGTTTGGATGTAGCCAAAGAGTGGCCAGAAAAAAAGACATCAGCAAAGAAAAATAGAATCAAAACTTATTGACCATCGACTAGGGTGGTTCAGTGGAATACCGACTAAACTTCTCACTCTAAAGTTAGAGGTTCAAGTCTTGAAATTTACATTAGAGCACGGTGTTTGACTGTTATGCTAGCCTAACTAAATTCGTTTTTGAGAGGAGTAACGGGTGCGATCAGGAACCCCATAATCCCACTAGTAAATATCTATCGGGGTGGTCTTTGGACACTCTAATTTGTTCACACCTATTTTTCAAAAAAAAAGAAAAAAGAATCAAAACTTGTTGTGTATTTTCGAACTATTTTCCTTAGAAACTTGTATTTTAATGATCCTTTAAACAAAAAATTCTCATTGGCAAGACATTAGGCGGTGCGCCAATAACAGCTCGACACATGGATACCCATAATTATCATAATGTGCGCAATTCTCTAGGAGGAGTTGAGCAATTATGACACACGAGACTGACTTTGAACCTAGAATTAAATGAAGTGTGACAACTCATTAATGAGGGTTGTGTTGGTTTGATAGACCATTAATGAGTGTTTAATCTTCGAAGTATATGAAGATAGTCATCATTATGAGGTATTAATGACCATCGTGCCGACCGGAAGTCCTTGGGGGATTTCGAGGGGATCTACTTTCTCCTCGCGAAAGCTCGGGTGTAGGCTCTGAGCGCCGAAGTGAAGCATTCAATGGCGGGGAATTGAACCATGAATGCTCAGAGGTTTTCGAGAAAAGATCCATTTGTCTGAGCAATTGACATTAATAAGACATGACAAGATAACACTCATTATACTATATTGTGAATCCAGACCATTAAATTGTAGCATTATTACGAATTTAGGTATAAATATTCAAAAAGTTAAGTTAAGATACGCAATTTTGAATCAAGAACACACAGTACATTCTAACTCGAACACCGACTAACTTGAGTTTTGGAGGGAATTAGCCAGGTACATACCCTGTCCCTTTCCTAATTCTTCGACTATTTCAAGTTAATCACTTAGGATGATCCAGAGGCTCATTATCTCAACACATTACAAGAATTTACCCGTACACTCATGTTGACCGTTGCAAAAAATCATAACAAATCATTAATTTGATAGCGGGTCATTGTTGTTAGAACTTTATCCTCTCTTCTTTTTTTT